TTCAATTGTAAATGACGTCCACGGAACCCCGATTGGGGTCCAAACAAAATCAATATAATTCAATTAGCATCCATTTAATTCTTATTAAAATCGGACCCTTATTTTCTTAGGGTTTGGGTATAATTTTCTTTAATTCCAGGTGGTTTTCGGCCCAAAACCTGCCTCCGCCTTTAAGGTAGTCTTTGACCCCGTAATTTGGCCCGAAGAATTTTCTTTAAATCTATAAGGAGCTTATTAATCAAGAGCACGGATTAGGGTATCTATAGGGTTAAGGCTTTTTTTAGGGTTTAGGGTGTCATAGGGGTATATAGGGTTTAGGGGGGTTTGGGTTTCAGGATGAGGGTTTTTTGGGGTTTAGGGTGTTTAGGGTTTTTAGTGTTTAGTATTTTAAGGTTAGGGGTGTTTTGTTTTTAGGGTTCAGGGTTTTTGGAATTTGGAGTTTTTAGGGTTTAGGGTTTCTAGTCTTTTTAGGGTCCAGCTTGTTTAGGGGCTTTAGGCATTCAGGGTTTAGGATTTTTTTAGTGTATTTGTAGGTTTTATTGTCTTTTGAGTTTAGTGTCTTTAGGGTTCAGGGTGTTATAAGGGTTTACAGGGTTTACGGGGTTTTGGGTTTCAGAGTGATGTTTTTTTTGGGTTTAGGGTTTCTACGGTGTTTAGGGTTTACGGTTTTTGGGGTTGGAGGCGTTTGGGGTTTTTAGGGTATAGGGTTTTTGGAATTTATGTTCTTTAGGGTTTAGGGCTTCTGGGTTTTTTAGGGTCTAGCGTGGCAATATTTTTTTTTAGGAATTCAAGGCTCGGGTTTTTAGGATATCTAAAGGAGGTTTAGGGTTTCGATGGTTTAGGGTGTTTAGGTTGTTGGGGTTTAGTGTTTTTAGGGTTCAGGGCTGCCCTTGCCGCCCGTCCCGTGGCCCGCGTCCTGCGCGCCGGCATCCCATGGCTCGCGTCCCACGGCCCGCGGCCCGCGCCTCCAGGGCAAAAAAAAACGAGATTACCCCATCAGCATTCTCACAAGCGAAACACCTTCAAAGGGTGTCGCCAAGTGCCAACGTGCACGGTAGAACACGGATTATCAGGTTTGGTCTTTGAGTGCGCCCCGGCCGATTGCGAGGCATTATTTTGACTTTGTGCATTCTGTGCAAATCGCTTTGCAGACGGGGAGCCGCCAAAGTTCTGCATCGCGCCAGCAGGCACGTTGAGCTGAGCTTGCAACGCAGCACTTAGCCGGCCAAAAGCGGGTAGGATACCTGAACATCATTTGGTAAACATGTTTTGGGCCCATTTGTAAAGTGGGCCGGCCTGTTTCCAGTTTGGGATTTTGGCAGGGGAGTCAGGGATATAGGCTGATGCACAACGGCTTCATTCACAGCCTGGCATCCAGGTTCTTCTTGCTGTAAGGTGGCAATGGATAGGAGCGCAACTCTTGCAGGCGCAACGCAGACTGAGAAGCCTTTTCGCACCCTCTCGGCGAGGTCTCCATGTAGCGTCTAAACGAGACCAGGCCAAAGGCCCATCCAGACATAGACAGCAGGGTTGGACACATCGTGATTGTTTTTAACATGAGGGGCCATGTGACATGACATGGCGTATCCTAAATTGGAGCATGCAGGAATCGGCCCGCGAATTTGTCAGAGGGCTGGCAGAAGCAGCTGCGTCCAATCCTGTGCGCTCTTCGGAACTCACATGCAGTGCCGAACAGCCTTTGCCAGATCCAAAGAGGCTTGCAAGAATGGGTTTGTTTGCAAGCAGGCAGCGTGTGAGTGGTTCTGTAGTGTTTCTGTTTGCCTGTTCCGGACTGCCTGGGCCTAGACTATTTAGCTTGACATACGACAGTCTCTGTCATAGTACTTACGCATCAGGTTCATGTGCTTTTATGCAATCCAAGCTTGTACGCAGCTCAGTCCTCTAGCCACAGACGTGCGACAAAGCATTGGTCCACTGTTGGCCATGGCGCCGTTGCGCAGCGATGTTTTCATGAGTCTTGGCTAGAACATTTCAACCACGATGTTCGAGTAGACATGAAACTGAAGGTCTAGGGTGTGCAATTCTGAGGATAGACGTGGCAACTCATTTTGCACCAGACCTGATTGGCAGAAGCTTGTCGAAGCTGTGGACGGCGCGTGGGCTGCTGAGAACGCAGTCTCCCTGCAGGGCATACACTCTAGAAGTAGGCGCTAGGCATCCCGGGATGAGGCTCCGCACTGTGTACTGTCCAAGGTCTGTTTTCAAGGAGCATGCGCAGCAGTTGTTCCTATGCTATAGGTTTGCCAGGCCATTTAAAACGCCCGGGCGAAGGCGGCAAACTTTGTGCAGAGTCTGTGTTGGCAATGTAGCGTCTAAGTGATCCCAAGAGACTGGGGGCACCAGATCAGGATGACATTGGACTTGCATAACGTTACTGAGGCGGATGCGAGCTGGAGACAGCTTTGACCGATGCCGGCAGCATGTACACATGTCTGGGTCTTGTTTGAGCAAACACCAGTGTCGGCTGTTGCGTGCTTACCATGCTCAATGCTTGCATAGGGGATAAAGTTGAGGTCCTTTGACTTCGAGCCCAATCTCCAGTCCTCTGCTACTCAGCGATGGTTGCATATACGAGGATCTCTTCTGAAATCGGTGAAGCAGCTCAATGCTACAAGCCATTTCTAGGGTCGTTCCGGTTTTGAGGGATTCCTGAGCAAGCCTTTTATCTGTGACAGATGCGTTTCTGATCTGTCAGCAGATTCAGGGCGAGCTGTGCCAAAAGTGAGACCTATAAGTGACATAGTTGCAGTCTCTTGAAGCATATTACTAATCGCAGGAGGAGGCTGCTCTGCATTTCTTTCGGACCCGTGAGAAGACGGAGAAATCAGCCTCAAAACCGAAGCAGGCTCGAACTTGACTCGAGAATGCTGCAGTCTCCGGAGTATGTCGCACCGTTTGTCTGTCAGGCTCTGAGGCTGGGACCGTTAGCAGAAGCTGTGGAGGCTTCCGCGCTGCACCTGATGAATATGAATGCTCCTTACTTTCTCAAAACGGCCTTGCCGCAGGCCTTCCTCCAGCACTGCAACGCTGCTGGATACCGAACATCTGAGCAGCTGGAGCAGGCCTTGCTTGTACAGGTATTTTCTTTCGTGATTTGAGAGAGATTACGTTGTCCATCAAACCAAGGTGCGGGTATATCCGAGTGTTTACCAGTCATCCTTCCATAGCATACCACCTAGCATTAACGCAACCCGAAGAGCAGTAGCATGTGCAGCCGCGCAGCTGCAAATGCAATTGCCCGATTACCCACCAGACTTCTCCGCCATCACTGTCCCAGACCGCCCCCGAACAGCTACAGTGTTATCAAGCATTGCATTTTACTTTGACGTTGATGCTGCCCCGGTAGCCAGGCCAGTGCAGGTGAGCCTTTTGATACTTCATATCGTCCGCTATGTTGCGAAATGTAAAAAAGGCAGATTTTACGCAGTAGTACGAATGCATCAAGACAAAATACCTGTACTAGGGAGAGCAGCGCTAGTAGTAGCTCTAGTATCTCGAGGAGGAGGAGGGCTACTGCTGATACTGCTGCTGCTGCTACTACTATTGCCACTGCTGAAGCAATCGGCATTGTAGTTGTAACAGTAGTAGCCATTGCGGTTGTGGTGGCGGCGGCGGCAGCGGCGCTGGTGGTGGTGATGGTGGCCCTGTGATACTTTCCCACCTCAACAAGACCCCGCGCCGCCACCGCCGCCGCCGCCGCCACCGCCACGCCACCATATAAACAATTACTCTAGTTGTACTCAGTCCTGCTATCCACCACAACAGTAGCAGCGACGACAGGCTCTGCTGCTAGGACGAAACCTCTTGCCATGGTCACCACGCCGCCGCTTTTGCGGCCACTGGAAACAGCAGTACTGGCCACCACTGACGCCGCCACAGCCACCGTCACCATTTCAATAACAAACAGCGCACTGCACACTACATGTGGCCATTGACAGCATAACAGACAAGCACGGCATACTCTTGGGGTAAGCTGCTGCTTGCCAGAGTCTGCACTTCCGAGTTATGAAGCTTTCGTCATTTTGCATGTTTTCATCTTTGCAGTTTACCCCCAGTGGCTGCAGGCTATGGGGGAGGCAGAGATGCCAGGCCGGGTCCTGTGAGCTGCCAAAGGTGCAGGCGAGACAGGGACTTTTCTGTGCAAGCATTCTTCTTCAGAAGGCACGCCATGGCTGCGACGAGTTTCGATCTTGGAGGCTTCCATGGGTAAGGCTTCAAATGTGCAGCCAGTTGCTAGGTTGGCTGCGCAGGGAGCTTTGCTCCCTGCCAATGATGTCTGATGAGTGTTCCTTTCAACCCCCAAGCACACGTCTGTGTTCTAATCTGCCTGTGTACGTGCGTGTATGCGTGTATGCGATGCATGCTGTACCATATGCTACACTTCAGTCAGGCATCTTTGGCGGAAGCCAGAATGGAGGCGGACGCACTTCGGCACCACTCCGAAGAAGCGCAGGCAGACACAGAATGCGCCTTGGAATTCTGCAGCTTCCACGCGCATAGGCCTTGCTGGAAAGCCTCCGGCAGCAGGCTGCAGAGAAACAGGCTGGACGTCAACAAATACCTCGGTAAACCTCAAGCGGCAGTATTGAAAGGAGCTTGCCGCCCGACGCCTTCAGCGCGCCGTGCGCTGCAGATTTGCGTGCCTCCGCTATGCTAGCTTGTGACAGGACATGTGCTGCCTCTTGGTTTTTCAAAGGAGAGAGCGCCGGCGCACCGCGGCTGCCGTTTGCTTGCAGCGCTGGTGGCGGAATCAGAGGCTGGTGGAAAGTCTACGGACATGGTGGGCATCCTGAGCCCTGTGAGGAGAAGTGACACCAAGAAGCCAAAGAAGAGAAGGGGGAAAGCGCAGAAAAAGGGTGGGCAGCCAAAACGAGCAGCTTGCAGTTGGATGTCTGAAGCTTGAACTTCTTGCTTGGCATAGGAGCGGCAAAGCCAGAGAGGCCTTCGGTGGAAGAGTGCCTGGACAGTATTCGTCCAGGTGTTTCGTTGCATCTTAGGATCTTTATAGAACACGGTACATGTGGCTGCCGTAGCAGTGTAGCAGCCACATGCACAAAAGCTTACCTTGCACACCTTGCACCAGCTTTGAGCAGACAAAGGCTGCCGTCGCCAGTGCCTGCGACTCTGCCAATGCCGGAATATACAGAACTTCTGAACAAGCAGACGCATCCTTAGTCCTTAGTGTGTTGTGCTTCTCTAGCAGCACCATGAAACGATACAGCATGAGCTTGCACAGGCATCAGCAGTACGCTCGGATTGATGAAAAGGCCATGAAGCACTTGCAATGGTCATGCTCTGCTTTCAGTCTACCTGTAAAGGACAAGCGGGCTGTCCTTGATTTTTTCCTTGATCAGCTGATGCACCTTGGCACATTTAGACCCTTCAGCCCGTGAGATTTCGTTGACGGAGCTGTTCACATGCTGGCACTGCTCCAGGTATGATAGCACAGATTTCAGAATCCTCATAGTCACAAGCTCAGATGAGCTGCTTGGCTGCAGCATAGGCATAGGTTCCTAAACTTGTGCTCCTGCTTGTTTCTTACGGGGTTATTTGTTGCTACTACAAATGACATGCAAAGCGTGCTGGTCGTGTGAAGACTGGAGGCGAGCTCTCGGTTTGCGCAAAGTTTTGCAGATGTCGAAAGCCGTTCAGTACCAGTTGGTCACAATGCTCAAGCAAGACGAGGAGGGTGATCACTGGGGCCAGATGCGGTGGAGCTTGATCTGAGAGGGCCGTGGAGTGTGAAAGCAGATTACTGAGTGTGCAGTTTGCATGTCTTGCTAGACTAAGTTTCTGAATTCAATCCCGTCTCCCTGTCGCGATTCTACTTGGCCCCTGTGATCTGCGTGTGTTATTCCTTGGTTTCTGTCCGACTTCAAGCTGCAGCCCCTTTCAGCTTGCCTCTTGTTTCATCGCATACCCGAAAACAAGGCTCCCAAAGTCTTGGGAGACTGCTTTCAAACGGCCATTGCGCCACCAGCAGTCGCGCCAAGTTCACATCCATCTCCCCAAGTTGGTGCTCCAGGCTTGCACGGTCCTCATGTCCAAACAGAAGAAGTTGCGAGCAGACTCGTGAAATCAAACGGCAACAAAGACTATCATTCAACACATTCATTGGCTGCACGAACTGAGCCGAGTTGAAAAAGCCTTGAGGTAATGGCTACCTTGCAGGTAGGAGATGGAGGGCGTGTGATACGTGGATACTCTATTGCTTCTTCCCGCAAGCATGGCGCAGGGTTTTTCAGTGGAGGTGGTCTTCGAATAGGATGGCATGATGGTGGTGTTGTAGTAGGATGGTAGGATGATGGTGATGGATGGATGTGATGGAAGGTCCTCGCGAAGGTCGTCGTGAGGTATCGGATAATAGGAAGGCTCATTAGGGTCGTTGTGAGGTTTCAGATTATGGGACGGCGTGATGATGGTCTGATGCAAGGTTGCTGTGAAGTCTCGGATTAAGGTCGCCCTGAAGTATCGGATGCAAGGTTGTCGTGAGGTAACGGATAATGGAGTGCTGGCGCATGGAGCGTCCTCAGATTTCTGCTTGGGGACTTCTGGGGTTGGGCGTCGGGTTGCTTAGGGTTGATGGTTTGCCCACCAGTGTCTAGGGCGGGGGGCTTGGGCTAGTCACTCTAGGATTTAGGGTTTGGGGCTGGCTGGCTGCCTCCAGTACGGCCAGTGAATTTACGACACGACCAATGACCTTTGATCAGGCGAACATTCGAAGAGGGGTTAGCACTTTTGCCGTATCGTATATGTTTTGCAAGTCGAGGGATGCAGCCCCCTGACCCACTGCTACTGTGTAAAGAACGCAAACGCGATGCTTGGCAAATCCGATCAACATGCAGCAAACAGCAAAACAACTTCCTATGCAAGTGGGAGTCTGCACTCCACCAACCTCGCTCTGTGGTTCTTGCAGCCATGTATGTCCGACAGATCCATCCGCGCCCATGTTTTGCAGGGTGGGGGGGCTGCACCCCCAACCCCCGCGTTGTGTTTTCTTCCTTTTTCAGCACAGTGCAAGGCCTGGCCAGTCCTACCACAAGTGCCGCAAAAAGGATAATCGTACATGCCTGGCAAGTAAGATGCACATGTTGTCATATTTGCAATTATGTTCTTGTTGCTTGTCTTTTTGCTGTACTTTTTTACTGCCAGCATGGTTGCTTTCTATCGTTGCTGTTTTTATAATCACTACTATTCCCGACCATTGCTGCTGTCGTTGTTATTGCTACCACGAGGTTTCTACCGTTCTTACACCACTTGAAAGTATTGCCGCTGTTCATCGTTACGATCAATATTATTGTGGTTTTATTTCCCATTGTGGTTATTGTGTGTGATTACAGCACTCTCATGGCTACAAGTACTCCAAGGATTATATCTAGAACTTCTATTGCTGCCATGGATCTTTTGTTTTGAGCGATCACTTTGCTTTCTATACGTTGAGACAACATTGCAACTATCGTTTTTATCATGGTTACTTTTCGATTGCATTTCAGTACCTTTTTGTTGATTGCAGCTAGGGGCGCGACGTCTAAGGTGCACGCGTGGTTTGCGTCTAAGGTGCACGCAGGTTTTCGTCCAAGGTGCACGCGGGTGCGGCCATGTGCGCTCCGTCCGACAGCTTTATTACTGGCTCCGACGAAACGGCAGAAATCGACGACCGTCTCGCTGTTTTGGGTGGGTGGCGGCGCTGGCGGGTGGAACATCCTGAGAAGTCACTTCGGCATCACGACCCTCTCGAAGTTATGGGCGGGTGGAAGGGCTGGCGCGTGGAGTGTCCTGAGAATTCTCTTCGGACTCGACGACCCTATCGCCTCAATCACCCTAAACCCTAAAAAACCCCAAACCACAAAACAACATTAAACGGGCCTGACCCCAACATATCACGTTAAACCCCGCAAAACACTGAGACCTGCAAAGGCCTAAACAGCAAAAAACCATAAACCTAGAAAAACACTTGAACCTTGAAAAAGCCTGAACCTTGGAAAGGCCTAAACCCTAAAACGCCCTGAGCCCTAAGAAGCCCAAAGCCCTGAAAAAAAGGCGTAAACATTAAAAAGCCTGAACCGTGAAAAACCTTAAACAAAAAACGACTCAAAACTTTGAACCCTGAACCCTAGAAAGCCGCACGTTCCAAAACACATTTTCCACCCGCTCCTGACTTAGACAAACCGGACAGAGACATTGCACGGTTGATTTCCTGATCTTTTTTTTGACAGTTTCGTAAATTTGGAGCGATGTTTTCATGCTGTTTTTCTTGTTCCCGAAAGCGATTGTTTGGGTCACGTTTCTGTTAACTCAAATGGAATTGTATGTGTGGCGTCTTTTTGCTTCTGCGGGATGAACCAATAAAAGCTGTCTCCATTTGTGGAACTTTTTTGTTCTTGTCGGCGCACAAATCAATGTGATTTGTTCATGTCACATATGTATTTGTATCCAAGGTTCCTTGCTTGCTCTGCTTGGTGGAATCGTGCAAATGTCATGTAAATAATTATTCGTCGAATGAAAAGAACATAGGCATTACTTCTCCTTTGCAACAATATGGACCAGCCAATTGCCCCCAAAGCAAGCAGGCAAAATGCAACATTCATGCAAAGCCAATTAACAATGTCGAACGTGCGAGCGTTTTCTTCCAATCCAAAACACCCTAAGCGCAAATTCGTAATTAATTTCTCTAGTCTTCTGTAAGAATCTTTGCGTGCATCTCGCATGGATTGTCCGCAGACTGCTTGCATAAACCCAAAGAAATCCTAAAACCTAAAAAGCCCTAAGCCGTAAACAGCCCTGAACCATAAAACCCTAAAAACCTTAAACCCTAAGCCCCCTACACAAACAGTGCCGAGCCATTGATCCGTGCGGGCCGGGCGTGAGAGCGGGCAGCTTCCAGTCCTGGGAGTGGCGTTGGCGCTGGGCGTTCGGTGGCGCTGGACGTGCAGTGGCGCTGGGCGGGAGCAGTACCCAGAGGACCTCGTGCATTACGCGATTCACCCGGTGAAGGTGGGCGACTCAGGTGAAATCTCGGTGGAGGTATGTCTTCCGAAAAGCCTTCTGTGGGCATGGATGTGGACGCCATGGACGAGCAAAGGGCGGCTGGCAAGCGAGCCCCTAATGAAGTGGACTCTCCGGCGAGCAAACGGCATGCAGGTGGCGAGCTGTCCCTCGCCATGTTGACAAGATTGTTGGAAAGCCAAACTCAGGAGCTTCGTCAATCAACATGTGAAGAGGTCCGCAAGGCGGTTGGGGCTATGGAAGAAGCCACTGCAAAACGCATCGACTTCATCAAGGGTGAGCTACGGGATTTACGCAAACACCTCTCCCAGCAGGAAGGCAAGCTTGAAGAAGTGCAACAGAACCAACAGTCTCTTCTGGAAAGGGTGGCGAAGTTGAAGGCCAAGGGTAGCAGTGTTGGCTCCACTACTGCTAGAGAACCCGACCGCAGAAACAGCCTGGTAATGGGAGGGTGGGAATTTGACACAAAGAAGGAAGACCTCCTTGCCAATGTTGACAAGACCCTCGTCAAACTCGACATTAAGATACGCGCAGATGAGGAGCCTATTTGTCCTGGGGTCAGGCGGGGGTTTGTGATCATGAACATTGTGGAGCGGCAGGGCGAATCGCAGGACGTCACCCAAGAGCGTTTGGGGAGTATCATCCGGACCATCAACAGCAACCTTTTTGTCTTGGCAAGCAACGTCAACACGCATGTCCTCGGAAGCTTTCTTGAAAACATCATTCATGAAGTTGGTAAGCCTTGTCAAGCCTTTATCAGAAGCAGCTAGCACCTTAAGGAGTTCCTGCGGCACATTGTCATATCCCACTGCCTTCGAGCCATTACCCTGCATCGCAGCCCTTTTGACTTCCTCTTGCGAGACCTCTGTAAACACCGAATCTGGGCGCCGGCGAAGAAGGTCATCCCTCATCACGCGCAGGTCCTCATCAAACCCTTCAAGTCCCGCCAAGAATTTCTTCTGAAAGTGTGCGTGAACATGCTCAAACGGATCCCCATCAACATTCACAGCAAACTCATGGCACCACGAAACTTTGCCGACTTTGTTGCTTTTGCGGAAAGCCTGCCAGTCACTGGACGCATTGTCAAGGGTGTTGTTGCGCTCTTCCGTTCTATGCTTCCTCATCTCTCTCATGTATCCCTTCCATGCTTCCGGTAACCTGGTCGCCCTTGCCCTTGCGCGCAACACTCTGAGGTGATGAGGAACTGGGTGCTGTGGATTGCCCTTTTCGGTGCTGCGGTCTGCTTAGCAAGGTCCTCTAACACCTTCTGGTCGATCACCTCGGGCACCGTGACCTCATTGATTACCATAGGTGGTCCTCCGGCCCGCTTCTTTGGGGCACGACCAGGTTGGAGCGTGTACTGCATGGAGACCAGCTCGCTCGAGGACCAACAGGCATCGATTTGCCCCTCTGAGCCATCCCCCTTACGGCGCAGGTGTGTTTTTGCGGTGTAGGATCAACCTGTTCAATCAAGCATACCCTTCTGCTCGTCATCTGGTTCTTCAAACCCCTTAAATCCTGCCGAGCTGCTTGCTGAGATGACGTTGCCCTACCCATTATGTGTCCATCCAAGAGGGACGTTGATATCTCCTGCTGCGATCACTGCGTCCTCTGTGGGCGGCAACAAGGAAAGAAACTTGCGGTATTCAGTCTGAAACTCGTCAACAGGGACCCCGGTG